CCCCCCCCCCCCCCCCCTCTAACCTCTGCTCTCACTCCTGGCCCTCTCCGGCGGCGGCTGCCCGTGCCAGGCGTCGCCTTTGCAAAGTACGGCGGGTCCTTCCATATCATTCCCAGAGATCGGGTTGGCAGTCCGATGTGACGACCGTTGGCTCTGTAACATATCCAATACATTGGCACCCATAACCCCTCCCGCACACGCACCTCGCGCCACACTCTCCGCCCTTCCCCCTGCCCCCCCCCGTACCCAGCCCGCAGACGCCAGACCCCTGGACACGGACAAACACCCAGCGCGCGCCGGTGCCTTTTGGCGAGGTCCCCTGCACACGGGCCTCCCCCCTGGCCGTGCCCTAGTCACTCTCCGCCCCTCCCCCCCCTCTCCTCTGTCTCGCACCCGCCCTCCCCCGCTCCCCCCCCCCTGCTATTCCCACTTTCCCGCCCCGTGTCTCGACACCGCACCAGCCGCCTCCCCGCAATACCACCATGTCCAACGCCCCCGCTCAGTCGCCTGCCCGCGTGCTGGTCTCTGGCGCCGTGAAGGGCCGGTTCAAGACCCTCTTCGACCGGGTGGCTCAGCTTCAGCAGAAGCACCGCTTTGACTTGCTCTTCCTGACCGGCGACCCCTTCGGCGAAGATGAGGAGCAGGCCGAGCTGCAGCCCTACCTCATGGGCGAGGTGGAGAGTACGCGCCCTGTGCCGCCGGGCCTTTCCCCGTCCCCCGCCCCCCCCCCCTCCTCCCCCACCTCGTCCCTGTCTTTCGCCTCCATTTGTCCCTTCGCCCTTTCCTCCCCCGGACTCACCTGCGCCTGGCTTTGCCGCTGTCATCTCCGCTTGCTGCTGCGGCTGCTGGTGCTGCTGCGGCTGCTGCTCTCCGTGCGCCTCCGGGCATCCAGTCCCGGTGGACACATACTTCATCACCCACGGCAAGATGCCGCAGTCGGTGCTCTCACGCCTCGGCCCGCATGGGGAGCTTTGCCCGAACCTCACCTTCCTCGGTCCGGCCGGCGTGGTTACCCTGCCGAGTGGCGTCAAGGTGGCCTATGTGTCGGGCGCCTTCTTTGCCCGCCAGGCGCACCATAGCCTGCCGGCCTTCGCCCTGGATGAGGAGATGAAGGCCGCGGCCGCGGCCGCCAAGAACGTCCCCTTCACCCAGCGCGAGGTGGATGTCTTCCGTAACATTGCGGCCAACCCGGCCTTCACCGGGGTGGATGTTCTCCTGACGTCCTGCTGGCCCGGGTGCGTCCTGCCACCGGCACCCGGCCTTGATCTCCATCCTCGGTCCGCCGCTAACTGTCTGTCCCTTTCCCAGTGACTTGGCCCAGCATCTGAAGGACGCCCCGCCGGCGACCCTGCCTCCGGGGGATCTGATGGTTGGTCGTCTGGCCCGTGTGCGTCATCCACCTGCCGCCCCTCGCATGACGATGGAGTGTGTCCGGGGCGGGGGCGGGGGGGGGGGGGGGGCTCCTTTCTTGACTTCAACGCACGCACATCCCCCAGTTCCCCTCGGCTCGCCTCTTTCCCCATCGATGGCCGCACTCACACAAAAGGGACTGGGCACCGGGTAGTGCATCCGCCCGCGCTATCATTTCGCCTCAACCTCCTTCGGCGAGCCCGTTTTCTACGAACGCCTGCCCTATCGGAATGACCGCTCTGGCGCTCCAGGCCCAGGGCAGGGCCCGAAGTCCGGCGGTCGGCAGGAGCATCGGTTCGGCCGCGGCCGGTCCGCTCCTTCGGACGCCGGCCAGCTGTCTCAGGGTCCCATGAGGCAGATCCTCCCGCAAACTGCCTGTCGCTTCTATGGCCTGGCTGACGTCGGCAACACCGCCAAATCCAAGTGGCTGGTGCGTTACTTGTGCCACTTCTGGCTCCGTTCCTGCCCCCCCCCCCCCCC